TTTATTAATTTAAACAATGAGATTAAGTCAAAGTCACATAACTGACAATTTGCACAGACCAATTATCAGAGCGAATTTTCATATATTGTATTATCCTACTATTGTTACACAATTTATTAACATACTCCTTTTTAGGTTCTTTTGATAACGATAGCATAAAATAGCTGTCGAAACGTCAAGGTAACTTTTCAAATTAATTTCTCTACTAATTGGAATTTTCTCTTACAGCTTGAGCCTATGTGTGTCGCAGGATACCCTCTAGGTGATAGTTCTTGATTACTTTTTGATAAATAATTCGTTCTTATAGCCAAATAGGAGCACTATTTATCAATCTGTAATAAAAGACGTGAGGAAATTCTGGCTTTTTTAATGACAAATATTTTTGAGGCGAAATACCCAAAATGTCGTTATTGTCAGTCTGGATAATTCCATGGTTACCAGAGTTTTAAAAAATTACGAAGCCACAGGTATTTGCGCAATGTCAATTAGGCAGATTACCTTGAAAAACATTGCTGCCGTATTTATGATATAGTTTTTTGCAGATTTCTCAGTTTTTAATAACAATTAATTTATTTTACTATTTTTTCTGTACTCCTATAACAGCGCCAGACAACACCTCCAGAGGAATGATGCCAATTTTGAATCACCCTGTATAGAAATATGGCTTTAGTACTGACTCACTCATTTTTGGAATAATAATTTCCGGGCACTCAGTATTTTATAAGATAGCAACTGCTATTTTGGTCACAGATCGTAGCTCTGAAGAGGAAAAGCAAAGTATTTACACAGCAATTTTTTCAGGTCAACTGATCCACGCTTTCGAGGCCGACAAGTTCCAAACCTGGTACTACTACGACGGACAGGATCGGCTCATCGCCTGGAACGACGACAAAGGCAATGTTACCCAGTACTTATACTCAAACCCGAGTACTCCAGAGTTAATCACCCATTTGCATTTCCCGAAAACCGGACGAACGTTCCGATTCCTCTATGATACGCGCGATGTTTTGATCACGGTGGAAACGCTCGAGCAAAGATTCTACGTGGCAGCCGATCAGAATGGAAGTCCATTGGCGCTGTTCGACATCAATGGAAATCTGATTAAGGAGATTCGCCGAACCCCGTTCGGAAACATCGTTTTGGACACCAACCCGGACTTTTACCTGCCGGTGGACTTCCACGGAGGCATCTATGATCTCAACACGAAGCTCGTCTATATCAACAAGCGGTTCTACGACCCGATCGTTGGACAGTGGGTGATTCCAGCTTGGGAGAAACTGGCTTCGAAATTGACTACTCCAACGGACATATTTATCTATCGCTTCTTGAACAATGACCCAATTAACGCCAAGTACACCACCAACTACATGACAGACGAAAAGAGCTGGCTTCAACTCTATGGCTATGATATCCAGAAGATGCTCGGCTCGGAGTATATAGGAAAAATTGTGTACAATCCTACCGCAATCGTATCCGCCCCTCAATTGGCTCCAGATTTTGGAATCATGTCGGGATTGCAATGCATGGTGGATCAAGTAAGTCTAGTTTTTATTTGGGTGCATCCTCAATCTGGGGAGTTTAAGTGTGCAATTCACCGACTTTTGTTGATGTGTTAAAAACATCGAAGGGATTTTCTAAATGACCGGAAAAGGTCTTTCTCATACACGTTTCTTTAATATCTAGCAACACACATTTTGAACAAATTGTACAATATATAGCAGTTTACTAACTTGGCTATATCTATTCCAGGTGAATGAAAAATTCGCCGATATCAGCTTCGTACCAAAGCCCCTCCTGAAGAAGGAACCAAAAACCCGAAATCTTCTTCCTAGAGTGGCGTACCGCAAATCCGTATTCGGAGAGGGAGTTTTAATTTCGCGTGTTGGAAGTCGCGCTTTAGTCAGCGTGGTTGAAGGAGTGAACGGCGTGGTCCAAGACGTTGTCACTTCGGTATTCAACAACTCCTTTTTCCTCAACCTCCAGTTCAGCATTCATGACCAGGACTTTTTCTACTTTGTCAAAGACAACGTGTTGAAAATCCGGGACGATTTGGAAGAGTTGAGAAGACTGGGAGGAATGTTCAATGTGTCCACACATGAAATCACCGAGCACGGCTCAGCGACGCCACTGAAAGAATTGAGGCTGCATAATCCAGATGCAGTCGTCATTATTAAGTATGGGGCTGATCCCGATCAGGAAACGCGCAAGATTTTGAGACACGCCAACAAAAGGGCGATAGAACGGGCTTGGGAGCTGGAGAAACAGTTGATTGCCGCTGGTTTTCAAGGCAGAGGCAACTGGACTGAAGAGGAGAAAGAGGAACTGGTTTCCCATGGAGACGTGGATGGTTATGAAGGTATAGATCTGCGTAGCATTCACAAATATCCTCAACTGGCGGACGATCCAGGCAATGTGTTTTTTCAACGAGACTCGAAACGAAAACGACGAAAGAGCGGGACACGGCGAGGTCGAATACATCGACACGATTCGTAATAAATATACAATAGAGGTCAGTGTGAAAGGTAGAGAGTGAGTGGAAACAGAGAGTTATTTTTATGTGCCATATTGATAATGAGGTCATCAAATCCTAGTCGTTCGTACATTAATTAATTTATAGAGATAAAACACTATTTTTAATAATTCGTGGCTATTTTTCATAAATTCTCGTAAGGGGGGAGCTCGAAGCCATACATGTCCAATAGAGATTTAAAATGAGTGAATGGGGAGGGGCCGGGGTAGGCTAAAAGTTGGTTGCAAAGTTTAAGTCGACCTCGCCGTTCTTCCGCCGCTGTATATTGTGTAAAAGCAATCAAAAGGCCTATCTCTAAGAATACATATACATTGTTTTTCCTACAGGGTAGCCTAGATACTCATAAAGATCGCTGTCGTACATATAATCTAAGTCAAGTAAGTCATTCGGCATGTTTTGCATGTACCGAAGTTTCAGCTCCCCAACTCAATAGTTTCCCACTACCATCCTCAAGATTTGTATTATAAACTTTTGTAAATGCAAAATGTGCCAAATCATAGCCCATTATCTGCAAATATAGTTAAGGCAATACAAGTTACATATGTACATAAAAGCTTTTTTATATGGAACAATTATCTAGAACAATGCTAAGTAATAAGTAATTAAATAGAGATTGTGTAACAATGGATAGAATCATGTTAATGCTGCAAATTCTTCCTGCATTTTGCTTTCGAAATCAATGTAAAAAAAGTAGAAAGCCAAAGAATACGAAATGGTCCACTTACCAGCGTCTTTATTAGTACTTTTTTCATGTTGGTTTTTAAGTGAAATACTTAACTGTGTAGCACGCGACTGATGTTAAACGAAAATGAAGACGATTCTTATGCGAATTGTAGAAAAATAATCCAATCATCCTAGAAGTTTTAGATGTAAATATTATTTATATGATTTTTTTATTTTATATCGGTGCTTGTGTCTCGGTTTTATGTGTAGATCTGAAAATTACCTGTGCATTGACTCGCATTTGTATTAGATTAGACCGTACAAAAAATAGACTTAAATCATGTTAATTGGCCCTTTTTTAAGTGGAAATTTTACTTGTCGTAATCATGGTCAGTTCGCAGATGTCGGGAGTTTTCAACTAAATTTTCCCTTCAAACAGGGTCAAAAGCAAAACTACAGCTCTCTTCGATCAATTCCCAAGCTGAATTTTTCAAATCCATTTCTAGGTATTGCTATATATGTGTATTTAAATTTAATAGGTAAGCAATAGATCACTGGACTAAAGTAACTAAACATTCTGTGTGTACAGCTGATTTTGTAGAGAAATTCGGGAGCAGGTTGAGCCACTTTCAATTATCGCCAGCCACACATGATTCTATAATCAGATATTCTTTCAATTCTCTTAAATCGAATTTTCCAATATTGTCATTTAACAATTACAAGTGACTCAGCTTGTAGAATCACAGTCGATAAAGAGATCTATTTTGCAACAATCCCTCGAATAAGACTGTGATAGAACTGTTCTGTTTGTCTGCTGTGATTATACCGAGATTTTACCATTTTTCGTACGCTTTATATTTCGAATTTTGAACTTCATGACTCGGTCAGATGGAACCCCGATCCTCTGGCACTTGAATCCAGGTACCTTTCGATACTCATTTAATGATTAGTGGCATTTTTAACACTAGTTTTTTTGGCAAATTTGGCCATCTCGAAACCTACATAGACTTTGCTGGTTTCGAGCTGGGAACTTGCATCAGCGAAAGCTATAAAAAGCCAAATATGGTATAGTGATATTTTTCAAGAAAATGAATAATTGTGACTAAAAAATTAAAGCAATACGTCTTCATATTGAATACTTTTTAAATCATAAAATCCTATTTATACGTGCAATTGTTGTCTTCAACGGCACACGATGGTAAGGATGGACTCGACACCTTACTATGAAACTATATTCTTAAGGCGATATTTTAACTGTGTAAATATTTGATTGTGTATATTGTTTTCATATGTAAATATATTTTGTTTAATTCACTAATATAATCGTTTACTAAACAAATGTTTGGTTGTATATTTCCAACTGGTCCTAAACGTGTAAGTATTCCTAAGGATAAGCGGATACATGAAAAAATATTTTTACGTGAAACATGCTTGAATTACGCCTAAAAAATGATATAATTTACTTTCTTGTCGCGCAGCGAATTGAAACTACTTTATGCCACTTGGGTGATAATTAGTGTGTTTTAAAACCTGAAGCTTATCTCTATATATATAAAAATGAATGTATGTCTGTTTGTCTGTCCATAAAAACTCCAAATTTAACCAAGATCGCACCGAGCTACAAGGCTGAAATTCTGTATGTTTCTTCGTTCATTGGAGAGTAACTTCGTGACTCTTAGTTTATGAGTTCAAATATATTTTTACGGTGTGTCTGCACTGTCTCGCTGCAAGACCTCTCATAGAGGGCTGAGTTGTATATTTTCTCTTCATGTTCCATAACACGCATTTAACTGCGGTCAGAAATAAATTTTATTGATCCATTCTTTGCCTCTCGGATGAAATCTATCGGAATGTTGTAGAAAAATGGCACACGGAACTACAGGTCAACGTAGGCAAAGGTAACTAATATTGATTGCGTGCCTAACAAAGCCACTTTGTCTTTATTTATGACCAAAGCTACGTATCACACGTTCCGTTTATCACAGTGAATAGACTAATCAATTAAACTAAAAATTAGTACATCTACAGCGAGCAGTTCGCATCATTGGTGCAGTTATCAGATAAACAAAGCGTACTTATAGTACAGTTGGTGTTCAGTTCATACTTTAGCGGAAAATAGATTGTTGTTGTGTTGTGCCATTCATCGGAAAGTTAATATGTTGGCTCTTAAAACGATTCTGATTGGATTGGTTTGGCCGGCTTTTGTTTTTTCCAGTGAGACAAGGCCAAACATTGTGCTTATTATTGCTGACGATTTAGTAAGTACAGTTGAGTCCGGATATAACGAACTTGAAAAATGAACTAAAACTGGATCGTTATATCCGGAGTTCGCTATAAGCGAATAATAATACAAAAACACGTGGTGTATTTTATTTCGTTATTTTTACATAGAGTAGTAGAAGTTAGTAGGTATGACTAAAAAGAACACAAAAAGATAAACAAAATTCAATTTGAAATCTACTTCATAAAGTCTGTAATTTTTGTTTGTACATTTCTGCTGCAAAAATAGATGTTATTTATGTAGTTTTCAAGATCACAAAAGGACTCCCAGATATGATTAGGAACTTGGCGTGATTGTAGAAAATTCCGAGATTCTGACACTTTTTTTGTCATTTCGGAAATGGTTGGAACAGCATTAGTGTCTACAGTAGAATACGTTTCACCTAAATCGTCATCTTTCTCATTATCGCTTAAAGCTGTAGATGAGGTTACGGAGTCTATAATTAGCTCATCGGTCAACATTTCTCTTGTAAGAATGTCATTATCAATGCTCACATATTCGAAGAAATTGAAATCACTCAATTTGGTTGCTAAGAGCTAATTCCTTACAAATGTCACTCTGCTTTACTCCACTTTTTATGTTGTTAATAATCTCGTACTTTTCATTTAGTGAAAAAGCTTTGCGTTTTTTTTTTCCATTCTAAAACGATTTACATACATATCGCGGCAAAAAACAACAAGTCACTGCCTGTCTCTCGCTCTCACTATTATAAACACTATTATATACAACTAACCTAAAAAGTGATCGTTATATCCGGAAGTTTCTTTTTTTCCGGACCAACGTTTTTACTCCGGAATGAGAAAATACGTTGGTCTTTATGGATGACGTTTCAATTAAAGGCAAAAAGTTCGTTTTAACCGAAAGTTTACTATAACCGGGTTTATTATAAGCGGAGTTGACTGCAGTTAAGATAATTTTGCAAATTAGGAATTGACAACTTTTTGTTCATTAAAAATGCACTCCTTCTTAGGTAGCAAAGATATTAGATTCGATAACGCTATTAGATGCTGTATTTTCCGTTATATTCCTATATGGTTGTAATATTTCACATTTGCCATAAACATGTGGAATAAAATAGATTTAAATTTTTATCTATTCCAAAGGTAAACACACATGCAAATTTCTAGGATTGCGTTCTTTTAGATGCGCGAACCGGCATTTATATTGCCTAATTATAGTGTAGTCACTTAGTTTGGGTCAACTGACTTAACGGTCAACATCTACATGGTTTTATCATTATTGTATTTGATATTGAACCGACTTTTTCCCTACAAGGAGGCTCAAGCTCAAGTTTCTCTATCATTAAGAATACGCTCATTTTTTATATGTCGGACATATCGATGAAAAACAAATAGAGTAAAAATATTTGCTGAAAATAATTGCTGAAAGATTTTTACCTCCAAATATATTCTAGATTCGCTTACTTTGAGCCCGACAATTTCTTGAAAATTTTCGCATCTCTGCTGTTTTATGCAACTCAATGCATTTTGCACTGCACTCAATTTACACTCAACTCTGAGCCATCCTGTATAATATCTTTAAAAATCGAAATATTAGAATGATATCGAAGCGAATTGAAGAATTCTGTTGTCATCTATGATAAGTTAATTAATATTTTCTATTTCTTTGGTGTTTGTGAAGGTTTGTTTACAGGTTTTATCGTGATTTACATTATCTGATCCATAGACTAAGAACCGTTTTCAAACCTGCATTAATTTCAAATATTTTTAATGGAAACTGAAGAAATGTTGTAAATGATTGTTGTCATAAAAATATTAGGTCTTCAATAGTCAATTTAGGTCTTCATGCTGAAAAGCCCAAAAGCGGTTTTCAAGACACGAATTACTTTTGAATTAATGTTTTAAAGTTAAACTAGAAATATTCTTTAGATAACGTTTGGTATAAAAAAAATTTACTTTTTCAAGAACTATTTTAAAATCCGCATTACTTTTGAATTTTTGCATTTTGCGTGAAAACCAACAACATTCCTTAAATTATGTTATTGAATAATAAATTTATAGAATTATTTATATTTGGCTTTGAAAATATTTACGTTAATGAATTTCTTATATAGACCAAATAATTGGGCACTGCTCTTGCCAACAAAATCCTTCTGTTCCGCATCATCTCATTAAACTAAACTTCCAAATTTACCCCTTCTAGGGCTTCAATGACGTGGGTTTTCATGGGTCGGGTGAAATTCCCACCCCCAATATCGATGCACTGGCCTATTCGGGCCTGATCCTGGATAACTATTATGTTACCCCAATCTGCACCCCATCCAGAAGTGCCCTAATGACAGGAAAATACCCCATCCATACAGGTTTCGTTCCTATTTAGTTGTTTCCACAAAAATCACCACAGTTTGTTCTTAGGAATGCAACATGCGGTGTTATATGGGGCTGAACCGAGAGGATTGCCATTAACCGAGAAAATTCTGCCCCAGTATCTAGAAGAACTGGGCTACGTCAATCATATCGTTGGAAAGTGGCATTTGGGCAGCTGGAAGAAGGAATACACGCCACTGTATAGAGGATTCATCTCACATCTGGGTAACCAAATACATATACGAAATTTTGCAAATACGAAAACTATTGCGACCTTTTCTAAGGCTACTGGACGGGACATCAAGACTACTTTGATCACACAGCGGTGGAAAATCCTGGCTGGGGCCTGGATATGCGAAGAAACATGTCCATAGCTTACGACTTGCACGGGCAATATTCCACAGATCTTTTCACGGAAGAGTCAGTCAGATTGATCAATGAGCACAACACAGAGAAGCCTTTGTTTCTGTATTTGGCACATGCAGCAGTCCATTCTGGAAATCCCTACGAACCTTTAAGAGCGCCTGATGACGAAGTGGATAAATTTGAATATATCCAGGAGTCGCAAAGGCAAAGGTTTGCAGGTAACAACTTGCCGATATATTTTGAAAAAATTTTCAAACCCCCTATTACTTTTTCAGCAATGCTCAGTAAACTGGACCAATCAGTTGGGGCAGTTGTGAAGGCTCTGAAAAACAGGAACATGTTGGAAAACAGCATTGTGATATTCACGAGTGACAACGGAGGTCCGGCCGCAGGTTTTAATCTAAATGCTGCCTCCAACTATCCATTGAAAGGAGTTAAGAACACTCTATGGGAAGGTAAGTTGAGCGGTGACTCGACCTGGGAAAAACTGTTAAATGAATGATTAGGTGGCATTAAGGGGGCTGGTTTGGTTTGGAGTCCCTTAATTAAAAAACCGGCCAGAGTGGCAACTCAGTTGATGCAGATTGCTGATTGGCTCCCCACCCTTTTGGAAGCAGCTGGGGGAAACCGTGGGTAAAACTAGTTTCATTTTAATTAAACTGTGGTGATGTGACCAGAATCTGTGCCTTAAGCAATGAGTCCGACTGGGATGGGCAAAGTATATGGACAGCGCTATCGGAAGACATTGAGTCTCCTAGAACGGAAGTTCTGCACAACATCGACGATATTTATGGAAATGCTGCGCTGACGGTGAATAACTGGAAAATCATTCAAGGTAATGCACTTGGAATTTTTTGCTGTCGCCTCTAAAACTCTACTGAGCCTTGGAGACGAAGCTAAAATGGACAAAGGGAAGAATCAAAAGAAATGAAACAGAAGCTGTGATGATCAAGAGTAATTGGAAGAAACAAGAAGCACAATTGTGATGACGCAATGCAAAAATGTTCAAGAAAGCCTGGATACTTTTCACATATTTTCAGATTAAATAAGGGGCGCAAGCACTAAGACTTTGTTTAATCAGCCAAACACTATGCAAGTTTTAATTACATTTTTTTAAACATTGTCTTTCGAAGAATCACCCTGTATCTCTTACAATCCTACAAATTTAGAAACTGAGGCAAAAATCCGCTTGCAACATTGAAGACAAATTTTATATGATTTAAGAGAGTAATGAGCAAAAGATGCACCGAAAAAAAGCAGCAGATCTGTGAACAGTTGAGGTGAATTTTTGCAAAGAAATGCTGAAAACGCGACTCAGGCCTGCTTGAGAAAGCATAAAAAAATGGGATTTTTGTTGGGTTTATGTACTTGTAACTTGTAATCAACTTTGATCTAATGTTTTCCTTTAGGTACGACATATAATGGACAATGGGACAACTGGTACGGGCCTTCAGGCAGGGATGCTCAATATAACATTAGCCTGGTCCAGAACAGTCCTACAGGAAAGGCTCTGCAAGAAATCAATGCTTCAACATCAGCAGAAGTGATTAAATCGCTGAGAAATGCTGCTACGATTGATTGCAAGAATGTGAGCCAGATTGAATGCAATCCAGTAGATGCGCCCTGTTTATTCAACATTGCCAGCGATCCTTGTGAATATGCTAATCTAGCTACTGAGTAAGTAAGAGTGCGATTTAACAAGTTTTTTTACTAATGAGTTTTAAGCCAAAAAAGGCCGCCTATTTTAATGGCAACTTGATCATCAATTTCTGATTCGAATCAAAACTTGTGAATATTTGCATTGAAAGACAATCATTTTACTACAGAAATTCGCTTCAACACTCTAAAGAGTAATGAGAAATACATCCTTTTTTAGATCATGCCAAACGGAAGGTCATCGAAGACGATTTTGATGGAATAATTTCATTTTGTGAAGAAATATCAATCATAAAAAATGTGAAGAAAAAGTATACGAATATTTTATCGAAATGTGTCGCATTTCGTGAAAAACTGCTATTTGTTTTAATCTTTTCTATAACAAAATTGGCATGGATTTTTATAAATTAAGGATATTTGCTTGTTTCAACTAAAACAATTTCAACAAAAAATCGACTATTGCCAATTTTTTTTGAAAAAAAGTGTCTGCTTTTACCAACATAATGAGGATTGAGGCCAAAAGATCAGAGATTTAATGAGCTTTTTAGTTGGCGAATTGAAAATGTATTAACAAGAAATATTATTAAGACATCGGATGACAAAAAATTCATAATTTTCAGTATTTTTTATAGATACATAGATTGAAATTTTATATTTTATTAGTTCTTTTTGAATAAATAATGTTGTTTCTTGCAGTTATCCACTTATATTACAACAATTGCAAAAGAAACTGCAGCAGTATAATGCGACAGCAATACCACCTAGAAATCTTCCACTGGATGAAAGGGGAAACCCAAAATATTGGAATTATGTGTTTACTAATTTTGGAGACTACGAAACTCCTTTAGTTGTTGTAAACTAGTGTTGTTAGCTGTTAATTGCCAATAAAAGAACAATATCTGGGACGAGTTCTCACCCATTCTTAAGTTCATAATAAACTAATAACATCCGAAACATGTTAAAAAAATTTAGATTTTTTTTCATTTAGTTGCGTTAATTCATCAGGAATAAGCTTTTTGGCAAAAAATCATATAGTTATTTTTAGAAATGCACATCGACAGCAAAGAGCACATTCAGGCCTGGATAACACTGTGTTATAACTCAGCGCCCCTCACTACGCCGCACCTCGAACTGCGCTTGTGGCCGAATAATTGGGAACAGTTTCATTTTCAGAAAAACTCAATTCAAAATGTGTTCCGCAATAGTCCTGCGAAAATTTTTTTAACGATGAGTGAAATTCGAATTTTTCACATTTCAAGCCCACTTTTCTTTACTGAACTCACAACTATGCACTCATAGAGCATTTTTCGTTGTAACTAATCGCGCCTCACTGTGCCGCACTTTGAATTGCGCTTAGCATTCCAGCCAGAGGCGAATTTAAGCTTTACGAGACCCAAAACTGGAATTTTAACAGCTTGCAGAAAAAAGGTCATCACATTCTTTATGAGTAACGTTTTACCAAAGGGGTGACTGCAACGTAACTCCATCAGTGAGACTGTGCCGGTTCGATGAGTTGGCGCACCAAGCCATTGCGCCAACTCCGAAAATTCAAGGAAAAGCGAGTCACATTTAAAAAAAATAAAAAATTTCTTGAGTTTTATATGAATTTAGATCATCTTAGATGTTGTAACTCAAACATGTTCCAGATATATTCATATATTTAACAATTTTTAACAAGATTTATTTAAATCCTGCGTTTACAAATTCAATCACCCGCTGTTAAAATTTCAAAAAGACCTAAATAAAATCTCAGTTAAAAAAAAATTCCTAACTACACAGACACCTTGATAAAAATGAAACTAAAAACCATCCCCATGCCCCAAACACTAAATGAATACAAAAAAGACACAAAATTTTGTCTATAATTTATTGTATTAAATTATAAAATACCTACATTAATCTACAAGCCTATTTGGAATCTTTATCAACGTAACCTTAGGATCTGACTTCACTTAAAACTCCAATCTCTTTTATATACATACATTAAAAAGCTAAATCGAATAAGGACACTTTCGGAACGAAAATCTCTTATATACAAAAAAATGGGTTCATGATGACATGAGCAATTGTTCAGTTTATTTACATAGTAATTTAAATTTTCAAAATTATTAGCATCTTAGCATCTGTTTTTTTTAATGGAAAAGCTGGTGTTGGCAAGATACAACTTACTGGTTTAGAAATAGATAGAAGAGAAGAGTCTTTTGAACCCGAGTAAATCATATCAGCATACTGCTGCACCAAATTGAACGTGTAAAGAGCGTGCGAAAGAATAAGTTTAAAAAAACTATTTACAAAGAATTTAAATACTTAGCGGTGTGGAAGATACAAAAAAGATAAATAATTTATTAAATTCACTAGTTGACATGGCGTTGCTAGTTTCGATGATTTTAGTTGAATTTTTGAACGTTGGTACCAAAATGTGTGTTCTGCTACAAGGGTAGTTGATTTAAATGAGGGCAGTGATGAGACGGGCTTTAAAGTTGACTAATCTTTCACTGGTCTGGGCAAGACGCTGAAGGAAAAAAATTAATGAGTTTAAGGTTGTTAATTAAAAGGCTGCAAGAACAAAACTGAATAAATTCTTTAAAAATTACCAAGATCAGATCCTGTACTAAGTTGGCTAGGCCTCGGTTGGCGATCACAAACAACCTGGTGATGGGTCCGGGAATTCCTTCAGTATGACCATCAGTGCTCTTTTGCACGTCCAATTCAGCTACACCTCCAGCCTCATGATCATCAGATTCCTCGGTTGCTCCTGATCCAGCTACCAACTAGATTTAAAAAATCTATTGTAAATCATCTCCTTTAATATGATAGTTTAGTTCAGACGGCATTCACATTATTTTCATCTTTAACCTACATGCTGCATTTGAACAATCAAACCACTATTTGATTTCAAGACATGATTTGTCCAACCACACAGCATTAATCATTCCTTTCTATACATTTTTTTACGCGCTACTTATGCAATAAGGTTCCTTTCACCCTACCTAGCTATGCACAAAAAACCATTCTGATCTGCACATTCTAAACTAATAACCACTGCTTTGAATAAATATAAACAGTATAATAGTAACATTATTTTCGCAACTTAAGTGGTAGGTGTTTCTTCACTATTGCCTGTCGTATGCAATCAAGCGGTTTTTCTAATAATTTTATCGGTGGAAATGCTAATGTGCCTAAACTGCTAGCCTGTGGGTGTTTGAAAATAGTAATATTAACTCTAATATAAATTATTATTATACAAGATAATATAAGAACTTAATTTTTTTTTAGTAGTAGAAGCATAAAATTATCGACATCAAAAATACTTACTGGTTTATAAAGAAATGTGCTTGAAATTAAATGTAGATACTCTAAATACTCCAGAAAGAGTTGAAAGGTGAAATACATTCAAAAATAATACAAACTACACACATCTTTGTAAACATGCTGTCCAGAAAATAAATTAAAATTTAAAAGGTTTAACGGGCACAATGAAAATTTGAAAGTCGACGAATTTTTACAATTTCTTGAGTAAAAAGGAGTTTTTTGATCTACTTATGTTAAAAATGGGTAAGTTTAACCAATACCGTCATACTAATTATTTTAAAATGTAATTTCGATAATTAAATTAATTTAGAAAAAAGCAATTGACATCTGAACTAGTAGAAGAAACAGGAATTTTGTTGGAATTTTTAAATTTAGAGGTCCACTTTTCATCCAAAGAAGCCGGACTGTGAAGACGTCCATAAATATCTGTCCACACACGGAACACGGACTAAATATTTTTTATTGTTTGATGCCCTATGTGACTGTATTTAAACAGAGTCTATGTTATTTTGCTGCTCTTATCGCACAAATTAGCTAATGGTTATTTACTTTAAACCTTTATACAAAAAGGTTTACGAATTCTCGGTCCCTTGAGAAATATTTTCAAATGTTTGACATTTTAAGAAAAACGCCTTAGCATTTTATAAAATCAAACGTGTTTGAATTACATTAATTAAAACATAAAACTTAATTTTAATTTAGTTGATTTTAAATGAATAAAGATTAGTTTATTTGAATACTTCGTATGGTAAAAAGCTTGATGATCCGCAGTTGCTTCTTAAAAAATCAAAACCATTTCAAATCCTTAACATTTTGCGTAATAATTAAAAGAAATAATGCAATAATTGTTTCTTTTCATTAATTTGCAGAGTTTGTACTAATTGTTTAAAATGACCCTCGCACATAAAACTAAAGCCGATTTAGGTCAGGGAGCTTGCGGGCCACTGAGCATCTGCATGACGCGTCCTTAATAAAACATTCTATATTTTATTTGGTCAGAAATAGCCAATCTGAAACTGATAATAACTGCAGTAAAAATTAAAAGATCTTTGAACTACTGTTAAAGATATGGAGGCAAAACTAACAACAACAAAAAACATTAACAAGTAAAATATTGGGCCGAAATGCAACTTTTGGTTCGATTTCGATCTTGTTCTTGAAACAGCAGTAGCAGTTTCTTGATTTAAGTAAAGTTCGTATCGATAGTTGTTTAAAAGCCTGATAAAACGAAGGTTTACAAGCAGTATTTTGAGATGTAATATCTAGGTAAGGTCTTGTAGAGTGCATTGCACTGTAATTAAATGGTTTATTAATCCCGCTTAATGATAGAACGCTAATAATTTTTCGTTCAAGAATAAATCCGAGTAATTGACTTATAATTGAGCAACAACGACAAAATAGCTGCGGCATAACGCACATTGTTCAGCAATTGCTAATTGAAATGAATTTTTAGACGCATTTCAGTTGGGGGATTATCAAATAAAAAACCAAACGTGTAAAATTGCTTTATTTATTAAAGTAAGAGTCAGCTTCCCCTCATTTGTCTGCAAATCTTTAAACGTATTTCCGATGCGATTGGCTTTTAGATCATTTAATCGAGTTTTGTTTTGATGAGTTGATTTTTTAATGGGAAATTGATGTGTCTGTACAAAGTCAGTGTGGAAATGCATGCATGGAATGAAAATAATGACCCATCGGCTATTATGTACACACTTCTAAGTCATGCAGATCGTCGTTTATGTACAAATAATTCACTAAAAATTCCAGATAATTTTAAAGCCACATTGTATATTAATGCGGTTATCTGGCAAGCTAGTCATCGAAAGAAAATGCGTAAAATTGACCAGTTAATGCTCATTAAACTTCAATGATTTTTCCATTATTAGCGTCGGCTCGCTAGGCATTTCTTTTGCCAACATACCATTGACCCCATAAATTAGTATCTGAATAAATATTCCGTTATTGTGTAAATCAAGTAAACGTGAACTTTTTGAATCTTTGATCTCTTTGAAGTTAAATATGGCAATTAATGAGGGCATAAAGTAGTAAGAATGTCCAAGTCCAAGCCAAGTCAGCGTAAATGCAAAGTAGTCAATTCAGTACAGTCTTCCACCAAAAATTATCAAAGTATCAAAGTCTGTCCAAGGAGAAGTGGCCAAAACAGATAAAGCTTCAAAAAAATCTTCATATAATTGGAAATAAGGATAGCGTTCCCTATTCAACAATTCCATCTGCTTTGTCCACTTCAACCAAACTCAGTAAATGTCCACCAGATAAAAAAGACAACACAAACCAGCCAACAAAATACAAAAAGGAAATGCATTGGCGAGGAGTAGAGAGAAACGGGTGCCGTGCTTGGTAGTACCTTAGCCGGAAGTACTTTGGCTGAAACACTAGATGATGCTGTTGCAAGCGTCTTTGTGGAGTCAGCGGCGGCGGACGCCAAACCCCAAACTCCTCCAGCATTGTCCGTTCCAGCCACCATCCTGTAGACTGTCCCAACCGTCCTAGCCGCTCTGTCCGCTGTATTCTAAACACTTTAATTGTTCAGTCGGTTGGGGACTTGCATATCTGGTATTTATCGGTCAGTCTATGTACATGGGAAAGTTTAGAACTACACTCTTGTTAGTGGCTTAAAAACCTTACAGTTGAAGGCACAGTTTTCCGAGCTGTTGGTGAGGTTGATTCAGCTAGCGGCAATTTTAAGTGGACGTTTTTCTAGTCGAAGTTTTACTAGTAAAGTGGCGTAAAGTTGGTTAAAAAATCGGTTGGGTTTTCGGGGCATTTTGATGACGCTTTCCATTAGATCAGGCCCTGAGCATTTGAATAGTCCTGAGATAGTCTCAGCTTGTTTTGAAGCTGGTACCAACAGTTTCTTGAATTGAACTTTTTATTTCAAGTTATTCAAATCATCTTCTTCTTTCAGATTCTATTCTGTATTAGTTCCATTCAAATTGGGTTTCAACTGATTTTTTGAAGTTGGGAGACAAAAAACCAAAACTAAGAAAATTCAAGTGTATCAATTGCAGAGCTTCAGCCAGAATAATTCGAGCAAAGAAATTTTTGATGATTCAGATTCAGTCCAGATCCACATACATTTTGAGGGAACCAATCACACAAAAAGTGAAAGGACAGACAAATCAGTAATATTCATATGCATAAAGGGGAAAATTCCTGGGCAAATAGCAATGCCGAAAAATATAATCGACAATAATTTCCTTGCAACATCCGACGACATCAGTCGTTAATATTCAGGTACTTTGTATAGAAATTTTAAAATAACATGAATCAGACTTCTTTCAAGCTGCATGGCTAGTCAAATCCAATTAAGGCTACATGTAAAGTGAAATAAAATGGTCGTTAACAGTTCAGAAATTGTCCAGGAACAAATTAAAACAACGCGTAGATCGAGTTGATGCCCAAACCTCAAATACCTTCGTTGCCAGTCCAACCCAGCCCGGATTCTTCAGCTTTTTAGCTAATCGGTGTTAAACCCGCAAGAAACATCTGACGTGATTAAGCACTTGCTAGTGCACACTTTTATTAACATATTGCAAAAAAACAATGCGCAAGTAAAGTTGTATTAATTAACCAAGTACATCCGACCAAGAGGATAAAAAAGTGCATGCAAATGATGATGATAATGATACAACCTCGACTCAAACATGATCTTGATGGTCATGAATCCAAAATCCCAAATCAGCGTTCGGTCCAAACAAGCAGAAAATTAGTCGAATGCATCGATAGAACATCAAAGATTAATCAGTCAGTCTAAATTCGGTTTTAAATGATTCAACTTCAGAATGAAAAAGGGACAAAATCAACCGCGTTTATTGCGTAGAAGATAGTTTGCTTATCGTGAATGTTGGGGAAATATTTGCGTATTTCAACACAACATACATTTTTAAGCTTACTTGAAGTTTTCTGATTATTTCGTTCAAAAATCAGGTCGCGTTTGTTAATAACCGACTTATTTAGGTCAAGTTTCAGCTGGAGGAAGGTAAAAAATGCTTCAGCTCACACCATTTCCACGATCTTTAATTAGCATTTTACAAAAAAATCCTACTAAAGCTAAAAACTAAAAAAAATGAAAAACCGATGTTTTGCAGTCATTACATTTAAATACGACGCAACACTTCGAGAGCACGCAGTTCTCTCGATTTAAGCCTCCTGTTGGGTTCTATTGAAATGTGAAGGCCTACATACATTTTATTGCAAAACCACACATTTTGAGCAACAATCAGGTGGGTATTTCGCCGCTAAAGTCGTGATTGCATTTTTTGCAGCTTACTCTATCCATAGGATAAACAACCCCAGCTAGTTCGAGGTTCTAACACTAAGTGATTATTAGAAACATTGCGGTGTGTGCTTAGAAAAATTTAAACTCCTGAACAATCAACTCATTAATTTGCCTCACTCACACCTCCCACGATCCCTTAGGCCGATCTCCTTACCCTGATAATATCAAACAAGAAATTGCCGGAACCCGCTCCTTCATGCCCATCGTCGCTTGCTCCAAATGGTGAGTATCTCTTGTTCCGGTCCTGATCATCCACTCCGTTCGAGTCTTGTTCGGGCTGGGGAGCGGATTCCGCACCCTCTTGATCCGCTGCCGCAGATTCCGCTGCGGTCTCCCTCGCTACTCGCACGTGACGTTTCGCTATCGTGTTCGCCGTGTCATCATCAATTTCAGACTGAAAGAGAAAGAAAACTGTTCGTTAATTGGCCCTCGGCTGGCAATGAAACAGACAAAGAAGCGTAGAACAGGTTAAAGGCGTTAAAAATGTCTAGTGAAGAGTTTTTCTACTGAGGTTGAGATTGTCTTAATATGCAAGAGCAAATGGTAGTGACTACCATCGCACACAGTGGAATTGAGGACTGGCAGGTTCAACGGTTACTGGTTGAAGAAATGTGTATCTTCTTGCTAGAACCACTCTGTACTTTCATACAGAGACAACAGAAAACGTGATGTTGTCACAGCATTCAAAAGGCGAAAAAAAATAAGAAAACTCAACAGAGACTAAAAACCATCGAACTTTTTAAATCTCATCACTTATTGTCCTGCTTACAAAACGATTAATACAGAAGCAAGTAACATGAAAATTAGTAATACAGCCATATACAAGGCGTAAGGGTCAACCCTCCAACCGTCCAATCTGGGTCAACTCTGATGGATTCCATTACCCAACTGGATAATAGTGTCCCGATGATTAGTTAGAAGTACATTTTGTAACTGCGACTACCAAAGAGGCCCGATTTTATGCCATATTTACGCTTGAAGAAGACGCCGTACCACCCATTTGAACGTTTCGGGATGAGGCAAAAAGTGAATCCAAAGTAGTAACAGTTACAAAGTCCTGCAAAGTATCGTTGCAAGATGATCAATGTCGCTGACCAAGCAGTCAGCGATGTCCTTCACATAGAACACAAATGAGGCCATACTGTGTAAAGGATTACCGCGTCCGTTACAGCTTCCAATTCTTGTGCAAACGCTGCACTTGTGCTCGCCCCAGTTACGGACTCGGCTTCATCGTCTTCGTAGTCTTCGTCTGGGGGGAAGGTGGGGAGCACCACGTTAACTCTTTGCCCTGAATCTCCACCGGAAGCTCCGCTTCCTCCACCTAGCCCCCCGCTTCGCAAAATCGCCCTTCCGAACACTCGGAAAGCTGTACTAGTTACGTTTTGGATTACATTATCTAAGACCTAAAACGGTTTCCAGATTATTCCCCATTTCCATGTGGAACTTCCAAAAGCATTCCTGTTTTGTAAGTGGCTAAGTTTACCTGTGATAATGGGGGACAGAATGCCCCAATAAGTTTAACGAAACTATTGAGTCCTTGCAGTAATCCTGGTAAATCGATATTCGATAAGATATTTCCCAAACCTCCGCCTCCTGAGAGGCCACCACCACTTCCAGATGCAGATACCTAGTAATTGTTAACATTTATATCCTCACACGTTTCATCTACACTTACTATAAAGGCTGAAAAGTAACACTTGAAGGAGATTTTAAGACTTTTTGCTTTCTCTAACCATTCTAATGTTAATTCTACTGGCGCAATATACCTAGATTAGCCAGTAATTTTCCTTAACACCCCGCCTGGGTAACGTGAATTCCAGTAGGTTTTTAACAAAATTTAACTTAATCAATCGAGGAATGTTGAATGATACGGTCAAGCAAAACTTAACGCCCAATACATGGCATTGATTAAAATAGCAATTAATAATAAATTGTATGGGTGTTTTGCCATGTTTTCAGATTTGCATGATCAATCTAAATGACCCAAGACAGATTTACAGTGCAACTAAACAAAATCCTCATTTTACTCTCCATGTACAAACAATAAAATACAGAAAAAATGAAGTTCCATTGGACAATTCCATGTATATTAATGACGCATAATAAAGAACAATCACGACCATTATATATCTATAGCTATGCAGATTTGTGGCCGATACAAGCCCAAGTAATATGTCATTATCCTTTACCTTGGCAGCTCTTTGTCACTAGTTACATACAAATTGCCGATAAGCAATCTATATCGATTTACTGACAAGGAGTTAGAATAATATATGGATGGTGCCAACTGAATTAGTCAGCAGTAGAAACGATTGATACGTTTATTTTCGTCTATTTTCATATTTTCCTGATTCATTGTTTAATTGGTATCTTGTTGTTTCTTTGCCTGTTAAGAAAGTTCGACAAATCTTCCACAAAGCCATAAAATTGGAAAATCCCAAAACTCAATCGATTCTTCAAATATGTTAATAGTGAGAACGTGATATTATGCAAATGCTGATGGCATAACCTGCCACGGATCTTCATTATGCTTCAAAATATCATAACTTTGAAGATTACGTTTATGCAATCGCAGATCAGCGCAACGTTAAACCGTCACTTTCACCGACTTTCTTCGACCTTCCAAGTTCAATATTGGCCAAAACTGTTGATTGTATTATTAAGATTTATTATTTTCACTCATCAAGATTCGATGAAGATAATGGGTATTAACGATTACCTTTTGATAGTTTAAAGATTTAGTTTTCTTTGCTGGCCTTTCTATTTTGATTAGGAGTTTTTGATGATAAAGCTACAGCAAAACGACAAGAATGGTGGAGGAAAAATGAATCAATTAAATTTCGTTCTATTGGCACTTAAAAAAAGTCAAATATATCCTAAACCGCATAAAGTCTATAATGTTTAAGTTGAATTTAACTTTTTTAAACTGCCAAACAAAACGAGATTTAATTGATTAATTTTGCATTCACAATTATTGTCTTTATGCTGTAGCTTTATCAGACTATGAGTAGAACACGAAAAATTGAAAAACTTTTAATAGTTTGAAGCAGTTTTGAATGATCAAATGCATTTGAATTAACAGTCAAAGTTCAAGCAATTAGAAACTATTTTCTACGCAAATTCTTAATCACTTGAAAACTGAATGATAAATTCATTATTGATTGATTCACATTCGTTATTGATGAATCCTGAAAAGGTCGAACAATGACAGCAAAGTAGACGCAAATTCAATAAATTTTAATATTTTTTTCTTATACTTCCTGGGTCTCAGTCAAAGTGTGAAGTAAAAATTTTGAATATCGTTATGTCATTACGTTCCGGCGAGACAACAGCGCCATCATCAGATTTAAAATTTACACAAACTACAAGCACCAATGCACAATTAAAACATGTTGCACAAAAACTATAATTTATAAAGCGTTAAAGCATTCATTAGTTTATTGAAGGAAAAAATCCTTCCCTTTGGGAGAGCAAAGACCTGAAAGAACGTAATTTTTACCAATTATGAGGTAAGTTTTTCAATGTTTTGCTCTCCCAAAAGGAAGGATTTTTCCCCCAAGAACTATTGAAAATTGTAAATTGGTGTTTGTAGTTTGTGTAAATTTTAAATCTGATGATGGCGCTGTTGTCTCGCCTAAACGTAATGAAATAAGCGATATTCAAAATGTTTACTTCACACTTTGACTGAGACCCAGGAAGAATAAGAATATAATAACAATTGCACGCAGTCAGGAAAATAAAGCAAAATAAACTTGAATTTGCCCCTATGTTTAAATTATTCACAATTAACTCATTAGTATAATGTAAATCGAATATAAATTAATATCCTTCAAGCCTTAATTTCGAAGTAAATCAGATTACGTGAGGTAATTTTTGACTTTTCAATGGCTCGATTTAATCAAGGTGATTATTATGAAATGGCATGCATCAGAATGCAGGTACTAAACGCATGTGAAAAAATATGAAAAAGGCCAACTGAGGAATAAACAAGTCAAATAAAATTCGTATAAGGAAATAATAAAAATGAGAAAATGTCATAGAAAAAAATGACCCACTTGTCTTTCGCTCAGAGAAACAAATGGCCATAAATTGCACAATGCAATTATTCATGCAACGAATAATGGAGCGATTTAAATTTCTGCACATGTTCAATAGTTCAGGAAAAAATTACTGTCATTCCAAGTCGTTTAGTTTAATTTATAGACCAGACTGATATGAATGGGTTTAGTCAGGCACAAGGAAGTTAAAAAAAACCATAAAGGTACGAAATTTCAGCACGAAAAACTGAACATTAGTATGCTTAAACCGTGGAAAGTATGAAGTAATTGAACCATTAAGTTGGCTGAAAAGCTTTTGTGGGAAAGGGGCATACATTCAAAGTAATATACCTGGAGGCCTGTGGATGCTGGTGCTGCATAGGCTGTGAAGAGTAGGACACTAAATACACACGCGGAACTTACTAACCACTTCATAATGACTAGACTAGATTATCTGAAACAAAAAAAAATGATTAGAATACTGGAATTATGCAGGATTTTCTAGTTAAATCGCTTCTAATTCTAGTAGTTGCTGTTGTTGGTAGCGGTAATTAGGCTTCAGTCCGCACCCTAAGTCAATCCGCTTCGCAATTAATTTTTTCAATCTCAGTGGAATTAACATAATTGACGAACAGAAAGTAAATTGCAAGGCGACAGTCCAAACCAACTCAAATGATAACGATAAACCAAAATATTGCTAATAAAATTCAAACAATGGCAAATAAACATGATTGTCAAGCCTGTTGAGTTGCACCCAGCCAGTCAATATGATAATGTAAATTAAACAATCTATTAGTGACCAATCCAAAGTAATTTGGTTGCAAAATCCTATTAAAGTCAGGGCTAATGCCCCATTTAACATTATTTATAATCCACGCAATATAGAATGCAACAAATTGATGCTCATTACTGTGTTTGCAAAATAGTTAGTTAAAAAAAAGTGAATTTCTTCAGCATTTATTTCACTTTAACAGACCGGGGAATATTAATTAAATAACGCGGAGAGTGAAAGTATTTCGTTGAACTGAATGACGCCCAAATGGTAACCTTCACCAAAACGGACTGGGTTTTTCAAAATTTCGCATTCATGTCACCGATTTCAACCTGTTTATCAAGATTAATAACAGCTGGATAAACCAATGTGGCCATTTAAGGCAAAAATCACGCATTACTGATCTAAAAACTTGATTTATTAGGGCATTTTCATCGTCCAATTTTCGCAAGCATCAGAAACAATTCAAGCGCGGAATGGTATGGAAATACGCAATTTTTTCCTTAGTTCAGGTTCATGAACAGAAAACGTCAATCATTTGTCTAGGTTTTTATAAAATTTCAACCATCCACTACACTTTCACGTGTATTCATTAAATGCAATTTTGCGCCTTTCGAAACAACGATCTACTTGATGGCTTTAAATAGCCGACAACTGTCTTTTCTATTAGTAATATTTGGAAGTCGAGGTTTTTGCCCTGCCGAATTCATGCAACAAGCAAAAGACCCCAATGGCTAGCAGATTTTAATATTGAATCTCACATGTATACGAATTTTAATTATATCGTTTGAATGTTCGCGATTTGACTCGAAAACCTATTGATCATTATGAGCGTTTTGCAACGGACAATCTTACATAAACCCAGAGTAATTGGCACAAACATGTAATAATACGCGGCCACATTGCAGCGTCTTATTTTCATCCATTTGATAACGCACTAAAGCACTTTTACTTTCACTTGAAGCACCACACTAACCAATGCTAAGCCTCCAATGGTCCAACAACAATCAAAGTGTATTAAATCAAATTCCTCAAATTTTCCTCTTTTGCTTTCAAATTTGCCAAAGCTATGGATTAGTCTGAAAAAAGCTGAAAATGCAACAACAAAAAAAAACTGGAATTCTGCGGCCTACTCGCGACAGCCTAGTGAAAAAAGTGTGACTTGTGCTTCAATGAACCGAACTTTGGTAAAATGTGTTTCGGCAATATGAAGAGTAGAAGGGAAAGAAGTTAACATTGAACGGCGATCGTTCATAGGAGGAACATTTAAATTAAATTACGTTAAACGGTCCTGATGCAACGTGGTAGATTTCCTTCGAAGTCGACTAATTGCAACGCCCGGACAAATTCCAAGGTGTCGATACCCTGTATGTGCATTTTGAAATCTCGTATGAATGAAAAAAACAGTTTAGAAATAGAAAAAAATTAAAGCAGTTTGGCAAAAGGTAGATTAACATATTTTTTTATTTTTTGCCGATCGTTTGGGTATTTATAAATATTTTTTCTTTTAAGTTTAAAGTGCACATTTATCTGCAACTTTCATAATACTGCCTTCTTTTGATGGCTCGTTCATTAACTTTAATTCAGCTCGTCAATTGAAACTTCGTCAGTCAACCAGGATTTTCGTGTTGTGATTTTCCTTTCAAAAGCTCTTTGCCTTTTTGTATTTTATTTCACCCACTGGTGTCTTTTTGGTCGTTCTGAATTTATTTCGCAACTTCCTTCATTCTCATAGTCAAGGCTTGAAAAATTGCACAAAAATTGAGTTCCCTAGTAAGTTCTAGGCGAAAACCATCATGATAGTTTATCAATGGAAGTTAAATATGTGTAGGATCTTGTTTTTTTGCTTATGGTGTAATTTAAAATTTGTGTGAAATAAGTGTTTGTATTCCCTTGGACTAATCTAACATTTATTACAAGCGCGGTTTTAATTATAAAAAGTTAAATAAGTTATACATGTTATATCCTTGTAATTAATCAAACTTTAAATTTGTCATTCTCTAAAACGAGGACAAATTGAACATGAAAAAAGTAGAATTTTGTTGCAATATTAACAATAAACATGCTAAATTTGACATAAATTATTCAATATTCGGTCTAATTTAAGTTTTCCACACGTTCCCGGTAAGTGAATCAGTCGCTCCTTTTATCCTTAAGCCTTGGATTACAGACAAATACGACAAAATCCCATTTACGTGTGAAAAGAAAGTTAAGAAAAAGACTTTTACTTTTTAAATAGTTATGCGGATGAAAGTGAGAACGTGCAAACTCGAACCCTTTTTGCTCACAGTTCTTAATGGTGTGAGAGAACTAAAACGAATTATTTAATAAATCGATATCATGCATTTGGTTTTTTTAGAGCGCTTTGAATATATATTTTATTGTTCGTTTATAAAGACACTCATTTGTCTTTTTTAGTCAATTTCCTAGTGCTAAGCAGTAAGCAGTGGCAATGTAATACGAGTTATTTTCTAAAATTTGGTTAAAAATGTGTAGCTAGATTAGTAAAATGTTTAATCATAGTGCAAAGTTATCGATAATTTTGAAATAAAATCTTGTTTACGATTTTTGCTCTTTTGTCGCTTCAAATGTTTAAAAAAGAAATTAGTGCAAACTATTTTGTTATTTTTATTTAGCATCGAAAAGCTTACAACAGGGGTAAATTGACTCAAAAGTTAATATAAATATAAGTCGAGAAATGGTGTTTAAATTTTGCTTAATACAGGGTTATATTTTGCATTTAATTTTCATACAAAGTACTATTGTGTTTACAATTTTTTCACTTTAGCCGCTTCAAAATGTCCAAAGAAGAAATGAATGCAAACTGTTTCGATATTTTCTATTTCGTTTCAGTTTATCGGAAACCCTCAAAATTATACAACATATTTCAATTTTATGAAACAGGACTCTAACAACTGAGATAAAAAGTTAATATAAATATGTCGAGAAATAGTGTTTAAATTTTGCTTAATACAAGATTATATTTTGAGTATAATTTTCATAAAAAGTTCTATTTTTCGTAGTTTTTTTGGGTTTTCTGTGTTGGTAATGAGCGTTAGGTTTATGGAAAAAGTTAAAATTTTATTGGCAATTTTATTATGAAACAGGCCACTTTAGTAAAAGAGTTATTTTTTCACGGTCGCTACTTAGAACTAATGAGATTTAGGACCCCGTGGAAAACGGAATGGAACGAGTTTTTAAGAGAACAGACAAAAAACATGAAATAATTTAAATGTAGTTGATGTAAAACTTTTTGCATTAATTCTACCTTATTAAAGCGACGTAATGAAATTCCGCAAAAAAATAGACTAATAAGTTTTACTTTAGTCAATACTAAGTTCCGTTTTCAATTTAAAAAAAGCACCATCTTTCGACCAATTTTGTCATATCGCCAATTAAACATAAATTCAAATGGGAAACCAACTAGAGCAATAAACTTTTTCACATTAATTACACAAACTTTAACGTCCAAAAACGATTGGAAATTGGACTGTGTAATCGCTAGATTGTCAGCGTGAAAAATGCAGATTTTTTTCAATTAAAACCACCCAAGAGTACGTTTTTTTTTTCAAATTCCTAATTCTTATAGCAAATATGCGATAAATAATCAGAAAAAATTATTATAGCTTTTTCAAAAAATTTCTAGGTCTAGGTTGATTTGACTATTAATGGAACAAAAAATATAAATTTAAAGTACAGTGGATTTTTAACAGACACATTTTATAAATTTCATCTTAACAAAAGAATTCTGGCTTCCTTTTCTAAGCAGTTTAACGTAGAAAGTTAGAAAATTTAAATGCAATTTTAATGAAGCTCTGAATGTTAGCTTTTGTGCAATTAAATACAAGCTCTTTATGACCGATTTGATATAACATGGCAACGCATAAAAATGATTTCAAAAATCATAAAGGAGCTTGAATTCGCACAAACTGATACAACATTGGAAAAAATTCCGCTAAAAATGGCTTTGCTTACAACAGTTGCTCAACAGGAGATTGTATCGACAAAACGCGCAACTCGAGCAAAGTAAAAGGGTTTAACATGGTTTTGTTTATTAATATGACCTCTGTCTATCGGGTTTTTTGTCACAATAAATATGTATCGGTAAACTCGTTTACCTGGGACTGCGAAATTGATTCTTGCTCGTTTAATGGCAACAGATTTTACCAGAATACTTAGCAGCAAGATGGTGATGAACACATTTTTCATTTTAAAGCAAATTTATGTTTTCAGCAAATGTTTCTGAAAAGGGTGGTCATTTGTGCTTGGAAAACGTCCACAAGATTTCCTTCAAAAGTTGAAAAAAATCGAAATTCGTATAGGTATAATTTGCTTAAGCCAAAAACCTTGAAAATCAAATTCTGTATGTGTTTAACACACTTTGATCGGTGTGCATTCCTAACATAGAACGAGTGGAAAGTGAATGGCGCTATTTTAACTAAACTAATTGATATTTCCTTAATACTGGAACAATTCCATATATTTTATAATTAAAAGTGAATAATTGCTTACAGCTGAGACAGCACCTGATTTGAGCACTTGAATTATGATTGATTGACTGATTAGCTTGATCTTTAACACTATTAATTTCCTTTGCAGTCTCTATGCCACTGACTAATTTTGTTGCAGGGCAGGAATTCTCGCTAATTGGTTATGGACATTTTCAGTTTGCGTCCAAGTTATCTCAACAATTTAATAATCGACCGTGGAATTAAAATCAACCGATTTCAACATCAAGACACATTACGGCTCAATATTCATTACATTAAGTCCCTTAATTTAAAAGTGCCTGGTTTCCTACGGTATTACTGTAATTTGCAGTTCTGTATGAGCTTAAGTTTGGTTGAGCGGTGGATAATTGAAGTGGACAGGAAACTTTTATATACTTATTACTATTATTAATCTACTGAAAGTGGCAATTTAGTAGTGGAACGATCTGAACTCTGATTTTGAGCAAAAAAGAATACACAAGTGTTTTGGATACTAGTTTCTTAACAAAATCTTTAACGTTTTTTGTGTGTGCAAAAAGCTATACAAATTTATTAATAACTGGAAAAAATTATCAAGTAAACACAATAAAAGTTGCAATGTTATTTTTAATAAATGCAATTAATATGAAGCCCAATTTTATTTTGCGACCAGGATTGTGTAGCCTGTGAAGATGCATATTTGATTAAAGTCTGCATAGTAAAAGCAAATTAGTTAAGTGCACATCGGCCAATTTTCACGTGCATGTTAATTTAATTTACACCGTCCACACGTTGAGTAACTCGCTCATACATAGATCACGTAATCTGTTGCATCCATCGAAGAAATTAAATTGATCAATATTGATTTAAATTAATTTCAATTTTTTAAAATAATGATTTGGCACACATAAGGCCCATATAAAACAGCAAACAACATCTAATAATAAGGATGACCATGCACCTTGACATCGAATTAAAAATTGCACGGCGCTCTTCCATCGGCAATTTCAAAACAATTTTCGATACGTGACTGGCCAAAGTTTCACTTCTAAATCATGAAAATCGTCTTGAATATTTGCGAATCGTATTCATAACGAATACAAATTTGCATCGTATACCGTAAACTATTGAGAAAGCTGTTAGGCTTACGTACAAGAAGAACGCATTTCGCTTGCCGGTTCGTTAGCAAAATGCAACCGCCAGTGTGTTTCGTTGGCTAAGCAAATATTTCATAAAAAATATTTTTCAATATGTATGTAAGATGTGTCAGAACTGTTAATTGCCTGTTTATGAATCAGTACATTTATTAGAGTGTAAAAGGTCGGTCAAAGTTTCTATAGCTCAAATTTTATAACTGCGTTTACTTGCGGAACGAACAGTTGAACTTGAAAATTTCGAGGTTTTTTGAATATATGGATGCCGGATATTATAGTTTTTAGATAAAACGTTTCTTGAGCCATTTGAGAAGTAAATTTAAACTAGAAAAACAAATAGGATTTAATAGAAAAGCTTGAACACATTTGAAGTCAAAAAAGGTACAGTATTTAGGTGCGAAAGGGATGTCAATCAGCACAAGGCTAAAAAGGAATTTAATTGTGCGACAAACATCAACACCAGCGTTTCAATGAAGTTAATTGATATTTGTTATCTAAAGATGCGTGTAATGCACGTTTTAAGTGTTGCGACACTTTATTTTTGCATTTTGCAAACGAAGACGTGCGTATCTTGAACATGTAGGCATTAGCTAAGAACGTAAATTAATGATAAA